TTAAGCTCCTTGAAATGCCTCGTCCAGTCCGGGAGGCTTTCGGCCACTATGGGCGGGTATCTGGTCTTCTCCTCCTGGTCGGCAGGCTTATCAGAAGACGCTGCCGCCGGTTTGGGTCGTGGCACTGCTGGCGCCGCTACCATATGGGCGTAGCTAGTAGATGGCCGTTGGCCATCATCCAGCGGACGCCCGGACGGATTCTCGGTAGTCTTCTTCGGTGACATGGACGGCGAGTGTCCAGCCGATGTATTTGGAGCTAAGGTCGCATATGTTGTGGCACTCCAACCATACGACCCTTCTCCTCCCTGCTCTAGATCTACAGCTTCCATGCTGGAGTGGTGTTCCTCTGATCTAGGGGGGAGTGGGCTTAGTCGGTGATGGCGACTTCGGTGGCGATCTCCTTATCGGCCTTTGGATTAGCTCCTCCTCGGATGACGAATAGTCCGAGGAGTTGGAGGATCCTAGGCACTTCCTCTTCTCCTGCATTGAAGCTGCAGTCTCAGGCGGGGTGTGCCTTCTCCAAGACTTCTTAGCCCGCTGCTGTTGGGGGACCGGTTCCAGCCCCGTCGTACCTTCAGGTACGATGGGCGAGAGCGCGGTCCTCGGTGCGGGTCCTTTCCCTGGAGATAGGGGCTTCCCTAGTAGGGATCTGCGAGTAGGAAGACACTACTCGAGTCCTTTCTGGGTTGAAGATGTCCCGGTATGCTATAGGTCGCTCCAGAACACTAGTTCGGTCCGGTGGTTTTCTGGATCTCGGTGGTGGCTCCCCCTTGTCGTTGTCCTTATCGGACATGGCGAAACCTACCTAAGTCAGTCGTCTACTGATGGCCCTGTCTAAATCCAGCCGATCGGCTGTAATGCGCGACGCGGATGGAGGTAGCAACTACGTTGGCGTAAACTCTTGGGGCACTGCCTACCCCTTTCACAACGAAAGGGTTGGGGGAAGTGCAACGGTGGCACTTTAGTACGCGACTAGGCACAGGATGCACGAAGCGCATAAAGTGCCAAGAATCACCTAGGGGCCGGTGACCTCGACGCCTCACGGAATCACGGGACTCAACGATCGGCGGAGTTTGTCGAACCGGCGGTTATTTGCAGCCACTGCTAACTACAGATAACACACACCTAGGAGATCCTTAGGAAAAAATCATACTGCCAACGACCGTCGCTGCCCAGTCCTGAGGAGGACTGCACGGAGGCAGGGGATAACCTTACCGGGGCTACTACCGGAGGACCCGAAAAGGATCCCCCAGAGTCGCCCAAAAACCATCACCATCCAGAAAGACGGGTGGGCCACCATCACGGGGAAGGGCAGACAACCAGCCCCCCCCCCACCCGTACCACGCAAGGAAACGGTGGAACCCCCAGAGGAAAGGGCAACCACCGGGGCGACCCTGCAACCTCCCGCCAACCCTGCCACAGAACGGCAGCCCTCCAAGAAGAGGAGGCGGGAGAGAAGCCGAAAGAAGTCGCAGCCTCCTCGGGCTGTTACCTCTACCCCGACACCAGGACCAATAGCGCCTCAGGCGCAGGTTATAAAGGAGACCACCCAAAAGGGCGTGAGTAGAGTGCAGGAGAGGGCTCCACCGGAGGAGAGAGCCCGAGCTACACACAGAGCGCGCTCTACTCAAAAACAAGAAGTCCAACGCCCGAGACCAGTACCAACGCCTTCAGATAGGAGACCACCGACGGCCGGCCTCGAAACAGTTGATGCAATCCAGCGCTTAGTTGGGATTGCCATCGAGGTCGGCACGCAAGTCCTGGCCGACATCAGAGCCGGGACGGATCCAATAACAGCGATCATGAAGGCGCTGGCAAACCTCCTGGCCAGACATTATGGAGGATAATAACCTGCGCCTAATGTACTGGAACCCGGACGGAATTCAGCAGAAGCTGCAGGAACTCCGCACTGTCGCCCAGCAACAGGACATACATATTATACTGCTGGGCGAAACAATATTGAATCCCAAAACGCGCATAAAGCTGCCTAACTTCCATATCTATAGGAGGGACGAGGTCACTTCTTCAAGGGGCCGCCTATAGAGGGACGGCGGTTCTAGTGAGGAGGGACATCGTCCACCAAGAGCTGGATCTACCATCCTTCCAGACTATGCGCTCGATCGGCATAAGAATGGAGGCGGCGGGCGAGGAACTAAGAATATACGCAGCATACCGCCCGCCAGGGACTCCATTCTGCTCCTCAGACATCCGGACGGTAATGGAGGGCGATACTCCTGTAATCATCGCCGGGGACCTGAACGCCAAACACCCGGCGTGGGGGTCCAGAGTGATCACCCCGCCGGGTCGTGAACTATATGAAGATGCTGAGAAGAACCAGTATGACGTTCTAGGTCCCGAGGAGCCAACTCACGTTCCTACCGACCCAAGGAGGCACCCGGATGTATTAGACATCGTGCTCACTAGGAATGTCAACTATCCGATAGTGGTAGAAGTGCTGTACGACCTCCCTTCACAGCACCTCCCGTTACTGATAACCCTTGGCTTAAAGGCGGTGACTACGCCGCCTAGAGCTTTTAAAACCCGTGTCGACTGGAGGCTCTACTGTCAACATCTTCAGCAGAGACCTCCAGCACACCAACCTATATGCACAGCGGACGACGTAGAGGCCGCTGCAACTAGAATTACCAATAACATCAAGGAAGCCCTCCACGCGGCTTCTACGGTCGTCCCGATTACAGCAAGGCGAGACGATCTGCCGCGTGAGATATGCGTGCAGATCAAGCGCAAACGTGCGCTGAGAAAGCTCTGGGCGCGTACTCGCTGCCCCAGGATCAAAACGCAGTTGAACACCTTAACGGAGGAACTGTCGGTTTCAGTCCAGGCCTTCAGAGGCGAAGCCTGTTATCGGCGCATCCAGAAGGCGGAAGAGAGTGATGTGTCGCTTTATAGGCTAAACCGACAGTTGACCAAATCCAGACCTCCCGTTTGCCCGCTGATTGATAATACGGGCAAACGATGCTACGATGCCAAGGGCAGAGCGGATATCCTAGTCGAGCACTTCGAGGAGCAATTTATGCCGAACACAGCAAGTGCGGAGTTCATGGAGCTTCATGCCCGGAAGGAAAGTCGCGTACAGGAGTTCCTGTCGTCGCCCGCGCCACCTCTTGCAGGAGATTGGTTCATCTCCCCCCGCAGAACTGCGGAGGACAGTAACCTGCCTGCAACCGAGGAAGGCGCCGGGGCACGACGGGATTACCAACGCTGCACTCCGACAGTTGCCCAATAGAGTCATAGTAGAGCTTGGTCGACTCTACAATGGGATATTGCGGACATCCCACTTCCCGGAGGACTGGAAGAAAGGCAAAATCATCGTCTTGCCGAAACCCGGGAAGGACAGGCGTAGAGCTGCCAACTACAGGCCGATCACGCTATTACCACATATAGCTAAACTGTTCGAAAGATTGCTGCTAAGACGTCTCCGTCCGTGCATCCAACTTCGGGCGGAGCAGCACGGATTCAGGAGGGGTCACTCCACAGTCACACAACTGACTAGAGTGCTGCACCTGCTTGCGGCAGAGTACAATCGTGGCCGCATATCGTTGGGCGTCTTTCTCGATATCGAGAAGGCGTTCGACCGGGTGTGGCACACAGGATTATTATATAAACTGGAACAACAGACCAGTGTCCCTCCTGCTATATTGCGGCTAATAGCGTCTTTCCTGGAAGACAGGAAGTTCTACGTCTGCGTAGAGGACGCCGAATCCGCAACAAGATCCATCCAAGCCGGCGTCCCACAGGGCAGCTGTCTGTCTCCAGTCCTGTACGCGGCTTACACCAACGATATACCTACACTGGCAGGCAGGCTTCAAGAATGGGAGGACGACGTCGAGCTGGCGCTATTCGCGGACGATAGCGCCTATTTCACCTCGTCCAGAAGAGCCCACATAGCCACTGCCAAGATGCAGCGTCTGCTGGACCTGCTGCCACCATGGCTGGATAAGTGGAGGATGGTCGTCAACGTTGGTAAGACGACCGCTCTGCTCACTCGCCGTCTCAGGAATTTACCACCTCCGCTGACCCTCAACGGCCAGGAGATTGCGTACCAGAAGGCTGTAACTTACCTTGGGTGTAGGATCGACAGGACGCTGCGCATGACCGCGCACGTCGACTTCGTCGTCCGCCGGGCCCGATGTGCGCGGGCGACGCTCTTGCCGGTCCTGGCATCCAAGCTGCCTCTAAGAACCAAGCTCCGGATATACAAGATGTATATCCGGACCATTATCACCTACGCTGCACCGGCCTGGTACGCACTTCTGAGCGACCCTCTGAGGCGGCGACTACAGGCCCAGCAGAATCTGACACTAAGGACGATCGTCGGAGCAGGTCGCTACGTCCGGAACGACGTGATAGCGGCGGATTTGAAGATCGAGAACATCATCGACTTCGTGGCCCGTTTAGCACGCGGCATGTTTGACCGTGCCGATAACGGGCCACATGAACATCTCAACGGCTTTGCGCCGTTGCATACCCGGCCACCGGACGGGCGACCTCTTCCAAGAGAACTCCTCTCTATATGTGATTAGAGAGTTGAGTAACAACCCACAATGCCGCAGAAAGGCCAACCCAGACTCAACCAGATAACCACCTTTTTCCGTAGTTGGTTAACTACGGAAACAATACAGCACCAAATACGGAACAAACCCGGTATGCTATTAGCCTAGAATAGGCAACAAGGACTGTCCCATAATAATGGGACATGAGGACACCCGGGTAATGGGGGGTCACCCCGAGGCCCGAGACCTGTATTGCATCTCGGTGCAATCAGACGACATTCAAAAATGTCACGCATCAGCATATTGTGAAGAAAAAGAACATAAAATGAAAATTCCCAAAGAAAGGATAGGCTCAGAAGGTCTAGAAATCAGAGCCGTAAAGGCAGTTAATAAAAAAAAAAATCAATGGTGTAAAACTAAAATGTAAATGTTGATTTTGTTTCCGTCGTTCATATTATGTTAAAAGCATAGATGTAGTTATAAAAAATGAGTGACAATATTAAGGACTATATTTATATTCCATCTATCTTAAATCCCAGGTGTGTTAAAAAAGAAAGCGGGAATTTGAATCTTACTCAGGTGCATAATTTAGTTTATTAACTTTGTTTTCCAATATGCACATTTTTTTACAAAAATTTGGAACTAATTCGCAAACAATTTATTCTTAATAAATATTCACTTTTCTTCTAAATACCTACTGTTTACTTTTTACACCTCTTTTTTTTGTATAAATAAGGTATAATATTACATATCAGAAGTAAGAGGAGGAGGCCTGTGCTCAGCAGTGGGACATGTATAGGCTGTGATTTTAACTTTATTACATATTATTTTTTACAGCAGTCTGTTGCCACCCGTTTTTCATTATCATTAAAGAAAAACAGTGTTATATCAAAATGGAAAACAAATTTAAACAAGGTTTGTATTTTTAAACTTAGAATCCTCTTGTCTTCTTCATATTATGATATTCAAATTCTAAAAAATTTGTGATGAAATTTACAAACTTAAGTAGTTAAGAATGATTAAAAACTTAATATAAAGTGAAGTTCGTCAGATAATGCTCTTTATCTCTCTAGTCTAGTTTAGGGATAATAACAAAGACGTCCAGCCTCACCATTGCTCTTTGTTGCTCGCCTAGCTGGCCGAGTGTAGGCAAGCGCCTACGTATATACTGTTCATTTCATGTGCCTTGCCGCCACTCGGGATCGCTCACTGTGACTCGTCTAATTCGGAACTGTGTCGGTTTTTTAAGTACTAGTAATAGACTAAACATCAGCAACAAAATTGTCGCATGTAACTTTTGTCTTATAGGATATATCTCCTATTTTTGTCATTTAGTCTTAGTGACATCGTCAAAAGGTCATGATGCATTCGTTACATAAATTTAAAAAATAGTTTTAAAGAAAATATGCCCAGTTGTGCATTAAAGAATTGTAAGTCACAATATGGAGCATAAATTGAATGTGATTTTGGTTTATTATCGTATGAATAATGTATATTTACCAAATAATCTTTAAATTTTAATATTTTTAGTAGATTGTTCTAGAACATTTAATGATTATTGTAATAAGCACCCTCTGTTATCCAGTAACGTCACTACAGTAGAGCCTCGATAATCCGAACCCATGATAATTCGAACCTCTCTATAATCCGAATGACCTGCTCAAGTAGATATTTCAATTTTTAAAAAAATTTTATTGTGTAAATTGAGGGACAAAGCATTGTCTTTATCATTAAGCACCACTAGTCAAAATACTGTACTAAATTTTTTTACAATTAATACATATTGAGTAAAATTTGTATTAATTAAAATAAAAATAATAATTATTCATTAACATAATACATGTACGAAAATGTACAGTGGTCATCAGCCCCTAAACTAGGATATTATACATGTATTTCAGGGGCCTGTTATCCGAACCGGGTGTAAATATTGTGTGTTCGGATTATCAAGACCCTATTGTATTTATTTACCAATGTGTTAGTGCTTGACAACGTGCCTAAAACAAATTTTTACCTTATATTTAATAGCACCACCTAATGGGGATTAGCTAAAATGTTTTCCGAATAAATATTTAGCGTAGTATTGCTATGTTTCGTTAGAGGGTGTAACACATGTGCAAGCTCACAGTTTTTGTATGCAAATGTTCCCAATGTCTGCTCTATAGTATATATATTATATATTTAAATCTATTTGGATAATAATAATCATCAGTGTTCAATTACACCCCGTAAAGTAGTTTCAAAAGACTTCTTGATATGCTAACCTCACCCATTTGGCTCTCAACTTTGCTGGTAGACAAATTAGCAATCTACTAACAAGAGAATATTTATTTAAACTTAAATTCTAACTGCTCTTACCCAGATATTCAGTAACAGGTTTACCCAGATTCAACCAGGAAATCTTCCAAGAAATTTAAGCAATATTTGAATTGCCAATCCTTATTTTAGTCTATATTTTCTAATAGCACATAGGACATTTTCACAACAGTATTTGCAAAAAGCTTTGAAATACTTTTATATTAATTTCCTAATATTTATATTGTAATGATAAGAATATTTTATTAATTACAGCATTTACCATTTCAAGAAAAAAATAATTCAGAAAACAAATATAACACTAATAAAAATGACCAGTGTTTATTACAATCTATGGAATCAGATAGTGTGGAATCTTTAGATTTTTCAGCTATTAATGATTTGAATAGTATTAAAAATGACAGTAAGTCGCATAAACAAGAAGTGCTATTTAGAAATGTAGATAATATAGAATGTTATACAATAGATACAAAAAGTAATGATACAATTCTTTATGATGTTATTGAAAAACCTGTATTCTCGTTGTCTTTTTGCATTTCTGATTGTAAAAATATTGATGTCAGAGCCAAAAATACAAATATAATGGACTTCTCAGTATCACATGACAATAATAACACAAACATTGAATGCAAAGTTATTGAAGGCTCTTATTTATCTTCTGAAAGTGAAATAGAGAGTATAAATTATAATACTATACCCAGTCCACCCAAAAAACAAGCTGCTGTCACTGTAGAAATAAAAAAAGAAAAGTCAAAAGATAACAACATAGAAGAAACAAATGTTCTCATTTTGAAAACAAATGCCATTGAAAAACTCTCACATGTCATTGTCCAACCACCAAATTATAAATTAGTGAAAAGAAAAATTCCATTTAGAGATAAATTAAAATTTGGTGCAGGCAGTAATGTACAAGTGTGTGACAATAAATTAAAACAAAAATTTATTGATGATTATTTTTGTAAAGATCCTACATTAAATGCAGATACAACTGAAAAGAATTACTATGGTGAAACAGTAATTAAGGATAATTTGCAAGATGCCGAGACACTGATGCTTGATAATGTGGAGGCTATGAATAAAAATTCAAGTGTCACTGATACTGTGAATTGTGATAAAAGTATAGGAACTACATACAAAACTTTGAGAGACACTGATACACAATCAAAAAAATCTAAATTATTTTCACCTAAAACAGATATTACTTCAGTCAGAAAACAAAATATCAAAGCTTCATGTTCTGAGGTACCTCGCAATTGTTCACCAACAATTAGAAATAGCAGTTTGAGTTCATACTTGGCTGGAGGAAATGTGGATTCTGTACATTTTAGTTTGCCATCAAAATCAAAATTCAATAAAGCACAAGTGACACCAAAAAACATCCCATTTTATAAAATTATCGCAGGTATGTCTTATAATAGTTTCCATTTCTATAACTTTTTCAAGAGCAGTTTTTCTGATCATACTACATACATAAAAATAAAATTGAAGTATATGTCTGTAATGTTATAACAACTGGCTTCTGGTAAAATCAGGGGGTTACTTATATGCTATTGAGATATGAATAACCATTCTTAAAATTTTTGTCTGTCTAACATTAAAAATCACAACTGCTTGTGATAAAACTTCAGGAACAGATGATGGCAATGCCAAGAGTAATTGAGGCTATATACTATCCAAAAATCATGCTGGTTTTTTAGTAAAATTGAAAATTGATGGTTATGTTACCTGCTTTAGGGATATAAAAAAGTTTGCAATTTTGCACAAAAAGTGTCCTCACACTTTTTATTCTATCTCTAAAAGTGTGGCTACACGCTCAATCTTACTTGCATAAATTCTAATTTGCTCAAGCAAGCATGTGCATTAAGCGGGCAAAACAGTATACAGTGCAAATGCTTAATTTTCTTAAACTAAAGTTTCACAAGCAAACTGTTTGCGCATGTTAAGATACTAGTGTAGTTTAGTTTACGACGGGCTGTTTTCCGCAACTCCACGTCTAAGCGCGTATTTTGCGTGTGGGCAGGAATAATGTGATTATTAGAGCCATGAAATCTCCCCGAAAAAGTTCAACAGTCCTTTAATGTTGCAAGCAACTTCGGGGAGCGATCCCGGCGTGCCGAGATGCTTAGCGCTCTATGAAGCGACCTCCGGACATGTCAGCAACACGTGAGCCGCCGTTTGTTCCTCCCCCATGCATGCTCTGCACAGGGAGCTATCTGTAACACATATGGTATTGTTTAACAAACATTTGTATGTTTGTTAAAAGAGCCATGTCCTGTTACTATCCTGATCTGTGGCTTGTTCAGTCTCATTAGATTTTTTTTGATTTAACAGTGGTAGAGCCATGCAGCAGCCTTTGCTGTTGCATGTAAGGGCCGGCTCAAACTGGGTTGGTACCACGTACCTCACAGAAGACCAGCGTGAAGTAAAAGTTTTGCTTCTGCATTTCGCCTGGTAAGTGCAGGTGGCCGGAGGCCCAATTCTCCCCCCTCCTTAACGTGGTAACGGAGTTAAATATAACACTACCCCAGGAGGGTACCAGCACCTCTGGTGATGGAGAATCCCTCACTAAGCATCCACGCCCAAACTCCCTTACTCTTCCTGAGCGTGGGTGCTCAGGCTGCCCCTCGTATTCTGGTGGGGGCGAAATTCCGCTCGAGACTAAACCTGCTCGGGGCAAGCGGATTAATACGTCAAAGGCTTGCCACGCTATTTGTGGATTTCTGCAACATCAGGGGACTTCAGTCAAACCTTAACGCCGTACACTACCATCTGGAAACGGCGAAGCCGGCCTAGCTCTTTCTAACCGAGACACAGGTATCCTCTCCGGCTGACACTCATCTCTCCTACCTGGGGTACAGATTAGAACACTCTTTTGTGCCCCGGGCTGAAGTTTGCGTGTTTTTTACCTTCGATCTTATGGCTATACGTAGACAGCGACGACCATCCCCGCGTCTACGGGTCTACGGGTACGTGGATCCCAGATGTGGAAGATTATGTACCTTCCCTGTTGGACCTTCTGCTGACCTCGCATCCGTATGGATATCGGGTCTCCATTGATGCCCTTCTTGGCTCCTCGGACCATTGTCTGATCCGGAGTACAGTGCCACTCACGCTCTCATCGCGGTTGCGTACTGCAGGTTGCTGCCGTTTTTGGCATTATAGGTCAGCCGATTGGGACGGGATGCGATCTTTTTTTGAATCCTACCCTTGGAGGCGGGTTTGCTTCTCGCCGGATGATCCTAGCGTTGTTGCTGATTCTGTCGCTGATGTGCTGCTACAGGGAATGGAACAATTTATTCTATCACCTGTGGTGCCTATTGGAGGCAGAAACCAGCCTTAGTTTGGTCGCTCCTGCAAAATTGCATTACATCATAAGCATCATACCGGCGTTCTTAAAAAGAAGTATAATTCTGCTTCCAGGTCCTTCAAAAGTGTCATTGTCAAGGCAAAGTCAGAGCACATCACACTTGTTCGTCTTTGCCTTGCATTCTGGTCTCTCGCCAAGGCTGTCCAAGGGAACTTCTGCCAGCCATCTCTTCCATCTCTGCACAGGGAGGATGACTCACTGGCCCATGCCCCAAATGACAAAGCCGATCTACTGGGCTCTCTCTTTGCGTTCAACTCGACTCTTGATGACGGGAGGAACACACCGCCGACCATCCCGCAGTGTGAGTGCTCCATGCAGGATGTGCTGTTTACCCGATGCTCGGTGCGCAGAGCACTCCTCTCCCTGGACATCAACAAGTCGAGTGGGCCTGTGGCGTCCCTTCTATTGTGCTGAAGACATGTGCTCCGGAGTTGGCACTGGTCTTAACATGTCTTTACCGGTATTCCTACTCCCTAGGCGTAGTCCCGAAATCGTGGAACTTGGACAGGAATCGTGGACAGCCTTCGTGCATCCGATCCCTAAAAAAGGTAACCGCTCTGATCCGTCCAACCATAGGCCTATCGCCATCACCTCCTTGTTCTCCAAAATAATTGAATCTATTATTAACAGCTAGCTAATGCGGTACCTTGAGAATCACCAACTGATTAGTGACCGCCAGTACGGTTTCCGTCGCGGTCGCTCGGCTGGTAATCTTCTAGGTTACCTAACTCATAAATGGGCGAAGGCAGTAGAGTCCAAGGGGGAGGTGTTGGCCGTTAGTTTGGACATAGCGAAGGCCTTCGATCCGGTTTGGCACAAAGCGCTTCTTACGAAACTTCCTTCCTATGGGCTTCCCGAGAAATTGTGCTATTGGATCATCAGTTTTCTTGCTGATCGGAGCATCAAGGTCGTAGTAGACGGTGCATGCTCCGGTTACAAGCCCATTAACGCTGGTGTTCAACAAGGCTGCGTGCTATCACCAACGCTGTTTCTTCTGCATATCAATGACATTTTGCAATCGGTAGCATTCATTGCTATGCAGACGACAGCACTGGTGATGCTTTATACACCGGCCGTGCCAATGTTTCTCAGGAAAACGTCGCCGAGTACCGGCGACAAACTTGTGTCTGAAGTCGAGTCTTTGTTAAACAAAATTCAGACTGGGGGCGACTAAATCTAGTCCAATATAATCCCCAAAAGACACAAGTTTGCGCGTTTACTGCTAAAAAGAGCCCCTTCGTCGTATCTCTTCTGTTTCAAGGCACTTCCCTTGTTGCATCAGTCAGTATCGGAATCCTCGGCGTCGACATATCGAGTGGCGTGCAGTTTCGTGGTGACATGAAGAGAAAGTCAAATTGGCCTCTAAAAAGCTTGGCGTGCTCAGAGCGCCGAGCGGGACAGTATTTCATGCCGGCTCACCGGCTGCACATGGAGTACTGTTCCCATCCATCTCTGGGCCGGGGCTCCCCAGTGCCAGCTCCTTCCATTTGATCGCATCCAGCGCAGAGCAGTTCGAACCGTCGGTGACCGAGCTCTTTCCGATCGGCTTGACTCACTAGCACTGCGAAGAGATGTTGCATCTCTTTGCGTATTCTATCGCATCTAACACTGCTCTGAGGAATTGTTCAGACTAATTTCAGCCGCTCAGTTTCACAATCGCACATATTGATAAAACTCGCGATACCATCTGGATGACTGGCGGCCAACCACTAAGTGATTCAAAATAAGTTTTCTTGCTCGCACAACTTCCTTGTGAAATCAACTACCATCAGAGATGTTTCCGGATCGATACGACTTAGGGACCTTCAAGAAAAGAGCCTATTAGTCCTTTTTAAAAGGCCAGCAACACATCTGCAATCCCTCTGGTGTTGCAGCTGTTCATTGGCGGCGGTAATCACTTACCATCAGGTGAGCCGTATGCTCGTTTGCCCCATCTCCTATAAAAAAAATAACCTTGGTTAGGCGACTGTTTATTTCAGGCAGGGCCTCCCTAGCTTGTCTACAGTCTACTAAATTTTTCCAAAGTTGAGCGTGTAAATGATTGAAGTTTCTACGTATCAGTGAACGAATGTAGCCGAATGGGATTGGTATCATTGGTTCCAGACCTATAGTGGCCAGAGCCCATCCCCTTCTGGCCAGTTCATGTGCTGCATCGTTGCCTCTAGATCCACTGTGTCCCTTAATCCATTGCAGAGTCACATTGTTGTGCTTACATGCCTCATTTAATCGTTGGTGGCATTCATATATTAAAAAAAACTTCAAACTAAAGTTGCACAAGCAATCATGTACATTATGATGACTTGTGGATGCCACACATTCTTTGTGAAAACTTTGTACAAACTGTTTGCGCATGTAAGATACTGTTGGTTGGACCTTGTGTAGTGCATAATATTGCTTGCATAATTTTTTTTCACAAAGTGATTGCGCATGCAAGTGGCGGTGTGTAGCCGGAGCTTTAAAGTTTTGATATAAAATCAAATTTTAATGTTACTTACTTTATAAAGTAATACTTTTAATATAAAGTAAAACACACACAAAGTTTTACGTGGTAGAGCCATGCTGCAATTATATTAGTAGTATAGTTGTAGCACGAATGGGTCGGCTCAACCGGGGAAGGACCACGCTCTCACAGAATACCAGCGTGAAATAGTAGCTTAATGCTGCTGTATTTCGTATGGTGAGTGTAGAGAACCGGAGACCCTTTTTACTGGAAATGAGGCATTCCATCTCAGTCCTCACGGGAGACAACGCATCTGCATTTTGATTTGTAATGGAAGATAGATGTAGATGTCTATGGGCCGCAGCAACCACTTACCATCAGGTGGACTGTGTGCTCGTTTGTCACCCTATCCTATAAAAAAAAAAAAAAAAAAAAAAAAAAAAACTTCACATGAAATAAATAGATCTTTCAATTTTATTTGAAATATTGCACATGGTTTTTTGAGATAATAGTATAAACTTAGTGTAAAAAGGGGAGTTTCAATAATTGTACTACTTGTTAAAGACCACTATAAGGATCGGCATGTTTTAATGTTTAAGTTTTATGTGAACAAAGTTGCATGTAAACATTACTTTGTTATTTCAATCCCTCAGAAATTGAGATTTATCGATTTTGATAAGTAATTATGTTGTTAAGATTTAGATAATAGGGAATATTCTGATCTGATATTCTATTAGGTACTCATTTAAGTAATATGTTGTGGCTGATTGTGGTCCAAGTAAAGTATTGTCAACATTAACTTGTTTACTATCTATTTTAAAACTATAAATGCTATTGTTCGTTAGGAACATATATTGCTGTGGATGCATTCTCCTATGGGGATATACCTAATGTAAATAATTATTTTCTCACTCATTTTCACTCTGACCATTATTCTGGACTTAAGAAGAGTTTTAACAAGTTGCTGTTCTGTACAAAAATCACTGGTGAGCATTTTGATATTATCTTATATTTCAAGTGTATGATTGTTATATTATAATATGTAACTAGTGTCACAGAAACGGCACTATTCAGATGAAATTGTATATAGATAATAATTTATTTCCCAAGTTTATCGAAGTGGTGAGGGATGAATGACATCTATATAATTTTTTATAAGTAAAGGGAAGCATTTCCCAGGTACCCTACAAATAAAGTGATTTGATATTAAATATTTTGATCATGGTTATATATTCTGCCAATAAATGAAAACTTACCCAGTGTGTTAGAAATACAGTACTTCAAATGTGCAGGTCAACACAAATGTGCAATTTCACAGATTTATCTTTAAATTATAAAAATCTTATGGATTTTACCATGTTTAATTTTAAGTAATAAATATAATATGTAACCTAACATTAATTCATTTGATGTGCAATATTCGCGTACCGTTAACTGTTACTGTTACAGTCTATTAAAGTCTACTGCTGAACATAGGCCTCCCCCATAGTTTGCCTCATAGGGGGGATATTTGCCATAGTTGCCACGCTTGGCAAATGGGTTGCAATCACAGTTTTTTATAATGATTTCTTATGTTTACGTTTACATTTAATTTAAATGCACAGTCTTTATATTTACTTGTTATTGGGAAGATGCTGCTGACCATTTTCAGAATTTTTTCCTCCGTCGTCTTTTTACGACACCCACAATGATATGAGTATTGGATATTCTTACACTGCCACTACACGGCAATTCAATTCATATTCACGTAAATATAAGCAATGAGTATATTATTAACATGTCTGAAGTTTGGTGTAAACAATAACTTAAAAGAGTTCTAACGCCATATCATAAGCATGAGACCGAACTGAATACAATTGAAACTTCTTGAGTATAAAAACAAAAGATGTAGGCTATTATTTTTTTGTGTGGTCTCAAATGGTTATCCAGAAATATTGCTTAAAAATATTGATAACCTGTTTTATGGACTTCAATTAGACTCCTTGGAAGCAGAATATGCGCTCCCATTGCTCCTACCTATGTTTGATGCTGAAAATTGATAATTTTAAGAGTATTTTGTAAATACTGTTGTGATAGGATTGTAATCCTGAACTCGGGATGTATAAAATAAGTATGTTAAGCATTGGCCAATACTAGGTTTTCTTGATTTCCTCTACAAGCACTGAGAAGATAAAAACCAGTTAAAAGTTATAAAGTACTCGCATAATAGAACTTATACAGGATGTTGGTGTAAACACCGTTATCCTTGAAACTAGTGGTTTGGTTTCACTTATAGAACGTAAATTCAATGAAAAATAACATTTTTTTTTAGTAAAATCTCAATTTTTCCTTAATTCCTCAATTTTTGCCTGTCCTAAGCCAGGATGAAAGTATGAAGGAAAAGTTACATCACAGGTTATGTGTACCTATTGTGTTTTTATTGGAATGTTGTGTAGGTAGCTAGCGCGGGTGGTGATCTTTACAGTGATTACGTCACTTGGGCGCATAGGGTATCCATGAATTTATGGACGGTGTCGGACAGAAACTTTTTAAAATTTATGAAAGAAAATAGCGTTTTTTTTTAAATACATTGAATTTACGTTCTATAAGTGAAACCAAACCACTGGTTTCAAGGATAACAGTGTTTACTTACACCAACATCCTGTATATTTAGTCTCTATAGCATAAAATATGGGAGGGACTTAAGTATTTCAGATATTCAACACATCATGGCATGGTGATTTTTCAATATAGATGCGGCAATACAAGAAAAAATGTGAAAAAAAGTTGTCAGTTGCTATCATCTGTATTTTTTCCAATCTATTGAATTTCCACGTATTAGTTTAAGGAATCGGGGTGTTAATAACTACTGTCTAAGCAATGAAGAAAATCTAATTTCCCTGATTATTGTAAAGATTTTTTTTTCAGCTGATCTATGTACATCTCGTTTGGGTGTAAATTCAAAATATATAAACATAATAAATGTTGATGAAACAATCAGAGTTGATGGAGTTGAGGTGACTGCTATTGATGCTAATCAGTAAGTAAATCCCTATTAATTTTAAAAACATTGAAAATTAATTTTGATTTTGTAATGGGTCCTACTTTCGTTTTCTTCGAGTCCTAGCCTGTGGTAATATTAATTTGTACCTTTGTATGCTAATGAAATTCTTTCGACTTGCGAATTTAAAACGAGAATGATAATCGCAACTGCATGCCAATTTTATTCAACATCTCATCACTACCACGCGCTAATTTACCGCGTACACGGCGACGAAGAGTAAATCGAGAAATTAAAAAAAATGTTTTTCGTAAAGTCCACCAGCACAACATTAAGGCCGTGGCGGTCTCATCCAGGGGTATGAAAGTTCTCACTAGCTTGTTTTTACGCTGATACTAGTACTATCTAATAGTCATTAAAACCACTAATTTACCTACTATTTTCACACATTTTATTCAAAAGATGGCGCCACTACCGATATTTATTATTTATCAAAGTTTCGAAGTACTGCGATATATGATACGTAGAATATCTGTATAAACATACGTAATATTAATAACTACGGTTATTTAAAAAAGTATTCTATCGTAATTTATTTTGTTTGAATACAGAAACATAACCTTTTAATTTTATTAAAATGTACGAACCTTGTTCATATCGCCCTCTAGTGTATTATTTCAGTAATTTACAATCACGACGAATAAAATGGCTTTTAGTAACTAGCGAGAAAATGCCTTCGATCCAAAGCTTGTAGGCTGTTAATTTATAATATAATGTATATGGGGGACATAAAAGCACATTACCCCGTCTCATCATATGGCTATTGGTTATTTTTGACTAAGTTGACTAAGGGTATAATGCTAACATAATCTCATTGTTTTTGCAAGGTCGAAAAAATCATTAAATTAATTATTACGTCGTTTTTAATTATTTAATTTTTATATTTCTATTTTTCTAAAGTTTTGAATGCTTTGCGACACCTATGGTTACGGTTTAAACACAAATTTCCAAAAATTTGTGCCAATGTCAAATTTTAATTGCAGGAATGTAATGGCCTGGAGAGTGGAAAATGTTAGAGGAGGCCTATGCAAAGAGGCAAACTGAACTTCGGGACATTTTATAAAAAACAAAAAAGAAACATAACATATATTATTTATATATTTAAGTTCAGATTAAAAGGGCTTATTGTTATAATGGCCTGGAGTGATGGAATCCTTTTATCCAAAGTATAAAGATTTCATAATATTCAAACTTTGTCTTTCAGCTGCCCTGGTGCTGTAATGCTGGTTTTCACATTACCAAACGGGAAAACATTGTTACACACGGGTGATTTTCGAGCGTCGCCTATCATGGAATCCTATCCTATTTTCTGGAATAAAGACATTCATACCATTTATCTTGATACTACGTAAGTGTGAAATAGCTTTTTAACGAACTTTAACAAGAAATAGATTCTCAATTTGATTGTCTAAATTCATATTATTACTACATTACCGTCATTGTTAACAGATTTTGCTGATTTTCTTTCTAACGTAAGAGTGCACTGTCTAAATCGCCACATACCACCATTCCCATTTAACCAAATACGCTAATAGCTAAAATACGATATATATTTTTTATTATTGTTGAATATAATTAGGTTAGCCTAATACCATTTTATTCGTAAGTTAAATTCCTGTCAGTTCGTGATTTGTGTTTTTTTATATATTGGGGTCCTAGAAGTTGACGTCAAGCCGAAACTTTCTGATAGGCGAGGATACTAGTTGCCAGAAAAATATAAATTTTGTATTAGAAATTATAGTATTTTTTTTTTCGATAAAATGTACACCATGAGACAGTTTTTTCATTCCTGTTGCTACAAATAATTAATTTTTGCCAATTTTTTTTCTCTTACGTCATTCTGAATAGTGCTTCTGTAACCTGTAATCCTAAACCCTGTGTCGATCACTCCAGCTTGAAAGAAAATGTAATTTTATACCGAACCAAGTTTTCAGAATTAGTTTTTCGCACTACTTCAACTGACCGTCCTGGAAAAAAATTGTACTACGCCAGTTTGGCAAGTAGCTTTAAAAGTTAGCGCATTTAATAAGGATTCTAACGTGGTATAACATTTACTCTATTCTTTCTTAGATCAGCCATGAAAAATTTTTTGTTAAACAAAGTCAGTTTTTAAAATTTTTTGGAACTTACATTAAATCGATTCTATTGCAACCAAAGCGTTCCTAATGACCACAGCGTGGTTTAAATGAGATAGAGAGAGACATTCCCATAAAGTGTGAGCGAGACGGATAGTGACGCTAATGAGACACAGACGCAAATGAGTGAACAAGACAGAGAGCCATGCTCAGTGTGAGCAAGACAGGTAGTGACGCCTCTTGGTATTGGTACACGCACTACAATTCAGTCAAGTACTCTGTGAAATCAGTATTCAGTACGCAACGCTACTTCGTTTACTACGCAGCTTTTCGTATTCGCTGGTGATATCTTGTGTTCTTACTACTTTGGCTTCGTTTACTGGACTTGTTTGCGTGTGATTTGGATTTGGATTTGGACATTTGTGATCTCTTTACGACGACCTTTGCTTTTCCCTGGACTAACGTGTTATTGTGTATTGTGTATTTGTACCATACCATGGCTGTGTACACCACACAGGAATATGCCAAAATGCACCTCATTTATGGGGAATGCCAATGTAATGCCAGTGAAGCCGCTAGACGGTATCGCGAGAGATACCCCAATGCTGATCGCTATAGAGATCACAGAGGTTTTACCAATGTGCACCGTCTACTCTTCTCTGATGGCCGACTGCCAAACCAAATGCATGGTGAAGGTAGAATTTCATTACCTTACGAGGAAGTAGTCCTTCGAGCAGTTGATGAGGATCCAAGTTGTTCGGTACGTGGAATTCAGGCCAGCACAGGTGTGCCCAAAAGTATAGCTCACCGAATATTACAAAAAAATGAGCTCCACCCTTATCATGTACAGCGAGTACAAACGATATTACCTCGGGATTATGAACCTCGGGTTGCGTTTTACCAAACCATGATTCAGAAACACCGAGAAGACCCACAATTCTTAGAAATTTTTTTGTGGTCGGATGAATCAACCTTTAACAGAGACGGATACATGAATCTTCACAATTTACACGAATGACACGTCGAAAATCCATATTAATGAGACAAGATAGATCACAGTACCGTTTCAAAATAAACATGTGGACTGGAATTTTAAACGGAAAAGTCATAGGGCCTTTCAAGTTGCCAGAAGTTTTAAATGCTGAAATTTATTTAGATTTTTTACAAAATCATTTACCCAATTTGCTGGAGGACGTGCCGCTTATTATTTTCAGATATATGTGGTTCCAACAAGATGGTTGTCCAGCGCATTATAGCCGCTTAGTTCGAGAACACCTTAACGAGGAATATCCGGACAGATGGATAGGGCGGGCTGGTCCGATCTCGTGGCCCGCCCGCTCACCCGATTTAAATCCTCTAGATTTTTTTTTACTGGGGAGCAGTGAAGGTAGTATATTCCAAGCCGATTGAAAATGTAGAAGAGCTTAGACAGAGATTTCATAGCGGAAGCAGTTGAATTTTGTAATAATGGAAGATTCGCCCGCCTGATTTCACGATCTTTTGAAGATGTCGGGCTTGTATTGCAGCTCAAGGAACGGCAATTTGAACATCTTTTGTAAAATAAGTAATAAATTTTATCATAAAAACGAAACTGACTGTCTTAATTTTATAACCATTATTATATTACTTTAGTTTATATTTGCGTCTGTGTCTCATAAGTACTATCTGTCTGCTCACACTTTATGGAATGTCTCTCTCTATCTCATTTAAACTACGCTGTGGTCATTAGGAACGCTTTGGTTGCACTAGAATCGTTTTAATATAAATTCCAAAAATTTTAAAAAACTGACTTTGTTTAACAAAAAAATTTTTATGGCTGATCTAAGAAATAATGGAGTAAATGTTACCACGTTAGAATCCTTATTAAATGCGCTAACTTTTAAAGCTACTTGCCAAACTGGCGTAGTACAATTTTTTCCAGGACGGTCAGTTGAATTAGTGCGAAAAACTAATTCTGAAAACTTGGTTCGGTATAAAATTATATTTTCTTTCAAGCTGGAGTGATCGGCACAGGGTTTAGGATTACAGGTTACAGAAGAACTACTCAGGATGACGTAAGAGAAGAAAAATTGCCAAAAAGTAAATATTTGTAGCAACAGGAATGAAAAAACTGTCTCATGGTGTACATTTTATTGAAAAAAAAATTACTATAATTTCTGAAATACATGACTTAGATTTTTTTTTATATTTTTCTGGTAACTAGTATGGCCTCGCCTATCAGAAAGTTTCGGCTTGACGTCGACTTCTGGGACATCCTGTAATAAACAAGACAAATGAACTATTTTTTTTTATAGAAGAGGGGGCAAACGAGCATGCGGCTCACCTGATGTTAAGTGACTACCGCCGCCCGTGATCAACCGCAACACCAGGGGAATTGCCGGCCCTTTAGAAAGGAGTAAGCTCTTTTCTTGAAGGTCCCCAGGTCGTATCGGTCCGGAAAAATCGCCGGTGGTAAACTATTCCACAGAGAGGTTGTACGCGGAAGAAAACTCCTTTTGAAACGTACAGTGGTGGACCGCCAAGCATCCAGATGGTGTGGATGGTATCGGGACGTTTGCCGCATAGTGCGTTAAGGAAATTTGGCGGCTGGGATTAATCCGAACAATTCCTCAGAGCACTCTCCATGGAACATGCGAAAGAAAATGCAAAGAGATGCAACATTTCTTCGCAGCGCCAGTGAATCGAGCCGATCGAAAAGCACGATTCGAGCCGCTCTGCGCTGGATGCGGTCAAGTGGAAGGAGCTGGTACTGGGAAGCCCCAGCCCAGAGATGGGAACAGTATTCCGTGTGTGGCCGAACCTGCGCCTTGTAAAGTTGCAGGCGGTGTGCCGGCATGAAATACTGTCCCGCTCTGCTGAGCACGCCAAGCTTTTTAGAGGCCAATTTGGCCTTCTCTTCCAAGTGACCACGAAACTGCACGTCACTCGATATGTCGACGCCGAGGATTCTGATACTGGCTGAGGCAACAAGGGGGAGTGCCTTTGTAATAGTGGAGACGAACTGTCCACTATTAACAGACTCCGAGTGGTTTTCTTTAAGGTGGAGAAATGAAACTACTGTTTATGTTTATGAATGTACTGTCGAATGGGATTCGGAATGGAATATCTTTTGCATCAACCTTGCCTATATTTATATGGCTGGCTCACTATTGATTTGCCAATGGTAACAATTAATATTTTGCCTAGCCAATTATATTGCTTATTTTATGACCAATGAAAACTATTTAAAATATACAATTATCTACGTTTCGTTTCCCGGCGTGAGACTTGTTTGTTGTTCACGAAGCTACGTCGCTGGACCGGGCTATATAAGACATGCAGATCGGTGCGCACGCGTAGTCGGCGGGCGGCGGCGGTGTGGAATACAGCTCCGGAACAGCAAGAGGAAACGAACTGCGGCGTTGAAGAAACGGCTCACCATTGGTCGACGGATACGTGACGATAGCGGCGTGTGAAGTCGGTGTGGCGCTGAATGATATTTGCGGCTGCTTCTTGTTTCTTTATAAGAACGTCAAATTATCTATATACAGTCCGCAGTATCTCAGTAGCCAAGAATAATTAGGAAATAAAATGTTTTTTTTTTTTATTTATTCTCGCCTTCCGCGTTATGGTAGCAGCGGAGTATATATTATTTATTCCCGTTTAGGTTTGATTAATCTGGCTGCTACACCTTGAAACTGAGGAGATACGACAAAGGGGTTCTTTTTAGCGGTTAACGCGGAAACTTGTGTCTTCTGGGGGTTAAATTGGACTAGATTTAGTCGCCCCCAGTCCGAATTTTGTTTAACAAAGACTCGACTTCAGACACAAGTTTGTCCCGGCACTCGGAGACGTTTACCCGAGAAATATTGGCTCGGCCGGTGTAAAGAGCATCACCAGTGCTGTCATCTGTATAGCAATGAATGTTACGGGTTTGCAACATATCATTGATATGCAGAAGAAACAGCGTTGGCGATAGCACGCAGCCTTGTGGAACACCAGCATTAATAGGCTTGCAATCGGAGCATGCACCGTCTACAACGACCTTGATACTCCGATCTGCAAGAAAGCTGGTGATCCAATCGCAAAATTTCTCGGGATGCCCATAGGAAGGGAGCTTCGAAAGAAGCTCTTTGTGCCAAAACCGATCGAAGGCCTTCGCAATGTCTAAATTAACGGCCAATGCCTCCCCCTTGGACTCTACTGCTTCCGCGCATCTGTAAGTTAGGTAGACCAGAAGATCACCAGCTGACCGACCACGGCGAAAACCGTATTGGCGGTCACTAATCAGCTG